CTCTCTCACTGTCTCCCTGTCAAATAAATAAATAAAATCTTTAAAAAATTTTTTTTGTTTTATTTGTACCACTGAAGAAACTTAGGCATTATTTTTTTAATGGCACAGGATCCTTTTAGATCTTTTGTCATAGAAAAACATATCTGGGATTTTGCTCTGAGTAGCTCCTCTAAAAAGAGGTATTCACAGCTACCTTCATACTTTCATATTGCCATGATGAACTGGCAGCCTTCAGATCTGAGGAGCCATCCCCATAAAGAGAAATGTTTTTCCCACATAGGAAATAGTCAAAAAGGAGCAGCTGAGAACTAATGATGGCAAGATATGAATAAATTCACTGTACTATGCTCTTTAGTATCAAGACTGATGGATTCACCTACTCAAACATATTATTAAAAGGTAATATTGAACTTTTCAATGTTCTGGCAATGTACAAAGAAATCCAACTTCAGAAATGGGCCCAATTAATATTAAGTCTGTGAAAGTAAAGACTTGGTGTCCTCATTAAAATGACAAAAACCCTCATTTCAGAGAGTGGGAAATACATTTCGTAAGTAAGGTGCCCTGGTGGCATTAGAGGAGATCACATTCTCTTTTACTTAGTGACAGGTCCAAACTGAGGAGATTATTATCTGTTCTCACTTGGCTGCAGGAATCTATCTCCACTCATCAGCATGCCCTTTCCCCTGGGGAGAGAAGCAGTCTCTCCTCCTCATTTGCTCAGAGGGAAAATATTTTCACATTTAAACTGGAGACTATGCCTCTAACCATTCTCCTAGATCTCTGCCCTTTTCCACGTTTCTCCACATGACTCATAAGACATGAGCGTAATCACTAGCCTGCAGTACAAGAAGAAACAAAAGAGGAAGATGAAATATCACTATTTAGTATTGAGCCATATGCCTTGCCAGAGGACAAACATGCAAACTAAAGCAGAAATGAATAACTGTCTATCTGTAGCAGTCACTTGATTTACAGAGGAACCTCTGTGTTATTCAGTGGAACTCCAGCTCGAGATGCTATCCTTGGTACTGACCCAACGAGCAAATCAAATATTTCTTCCCGTTTGGCAGATAGCTCATTTCCCTTCTGCCATACACTTTCCTATATACAGTCATCTTCACTTTTAGCATCTTCTTTTAGTGCTGTGATTGTGAGGAATGCTGCCTGTCCAACGACAGGTATCCCAGCTGCTGGGAGAGATGGCAAGGATAGATAGTATTTACAGTGCTAGGACTTCAACTCTCTGTGTAACAGCTTTCTCTTCAAAGACACAAAAACTGTATGATTACAGCAAAAATTAAGATACATAATAAAACCAAACATACAATGAATGTGCCATGCCAAAGGTTTTTGTAATTTCTTTTAAAAACTAAAATACAAGGTTCAAACTGCCATATCAGGATAATTGCATAGCCATTCACAGAAAGCAAGAGAACATGTAATAGGAAGGGTTGCCACTCTCTAATTTGGATAGACAATCTGATTACATCAGCCTGCATTGGTACCTGATTGTTTCAGGAAAACCCTCAGGTTGAAAGCACAGAATTAAACCCCCCTCCGAAGCAGCTTTCTTTTAGGAATGGGGTGTTTTCTCCCTCAGAATATGGTTTTCTTCTATATATTTCATCTTTGTAAAGCACAACTTCTTTCCATTTATTGTAGAGAATGAATCTTATCTTTGAAATACCTTTAGAGAACTCTTTTTCCACCACTTATAGCTAATAACCTTGAAGATTTGATTTGCATTACTTTTGTTTACTTTCTTCTACCCAAAGTCCCTCCCCATAAGTAGCTGAAAAAATTCACACCTTTGACAAGTTGCCTTTTAACATTCTTATACATTTAATATACAGGTTTGTAATTTTGATCCATTTTGCTAACATCTCTTTTCTGGGCTTTATGCTGTGTTAGGAATCAAAAAAGGAATAAACTACAAATGTTTCCATTAATTTGGACTGTGAACCACAGAGATTAGTGGAATCTCATTTTTTACCATTATCATAAGCCTGGTACAGGGAAAGTACTCAGTGTTTGTTGAATGAATGAAAATCCTCTGATTAAATATTTTATAATAGTTTTTCTGATTTTTGGCCTTGAAAAATGTGCCATAACCATAAATAAAGCTAACCAAGTTTTCCTCTTGTGTCTTAGGGGGTTTTTTAATTAATAAATTAATTTTTTAGAAAAGTCTTAGATTTACAACAATATTGAACAAGAAGTAAATAGTTTCCAAGTACCCCTGTCTCCCCCACACACATACATAGTCCCCTACCACTACTGACATCCTGCACCCACAGGGGTACATTGTTTATAATCAGCAAATACATCATTATCACCCAAAGTTCATAGTTTGCATTAGAGTTCACTCTTGGTGTACATTCTATGGGTTTGGACAAATGTTTAAAATGTATGTATCTACCATTATAGTATCATACAGAATAGTTCCACTGCCCTAAAAATCGTCTGTGCTCTGCCTATTCATTCTTCCCTCCCCCCTAACCCCTGGCAACCAGGTTAGGTTTTTTTTTTTTTTTTTAATCTTTTTACTGACTCCATTGTTTTGCCTTTTCAGAATGCCGTATAGTTGGAATCATACAGTTATGTAGCCTTTTCAATTGCCTTCTTTCACTTAGTAATATGCATTTACATTTCCTCCAGGTCTTTCCATGGCTTGATCACTCATTCCTTTTTAGCACTGAATAATATTCCATTTCTGGATGTACCACAGTTTGTTTACCCATTAATCTACTGAAGAACATTGTAGTTGTTTCCAAGTTGGGGCAATTATAAAATTGCCAGAAGAAATCTACTATAAAATCCGTGTGCATATTTTTGTGGGGACGTAAGTTTTCAGTTCACTTGGGTAAATATGAGGGAACATGATTGCTGGATTATATGGTAAGAGTATGTTTAGTTTTATAAGAAATTGCCAAAGTATCTTCCAAAGTGCCAGTAATATTTTGCATTCCCACCAGCAATGAAGGAGAGTTTCTGTTTGCTCCACATCCTTGTCAGCACTTGGTGTTGTCATTGTTTTGGATTTTGGCCATTCTAATAGGTGTGTAGTGGTATCTCATTGTTCTTTTAATTTGTAATTCCCTAATGATGTATGACATATGACATATGATGATGCTTACTTGCCATTGATATACTTTGGTGAGGTGTCTTTTCAGGTCTAATTTTTTGGCATTTATCCTGTTTGATTTCTCTGAACTTCGTGGATCTGTGGTTTGGTGTCTGATAATAATTTGGGGGGAAAGTTCAGCCATTATTGCTTCACCTATTGCTTCTATTCCCTTCTCTCTTTCTTTCCCTTCTAATATTCTTACGACATGTATCTTTTGTCGTTGTCCCGTAGTTCTTGGATATTCTGCTTGGGGTTTTTTTGATGCTTTTTTCTCTTTGCTTTTCAGGTTAGGCAGTTTCTATTGTCATACCCTCAAGCTCAGAGATTCTTCTCTCAGCCATGTCAAGTCTTTTAATAAGCCCATCCAAGGCATTTTTCAGTTCTGTTACAGTATTATTTTTTATCTTTTGCATGTCTATTTGATTCTTCCTTAGAACTTCCATCTCTCTGTTTACATTATCCATCTGTTCTTTCATGGTATCTACTTTTCCCATTAAAGCCCTTAGCATACTAATCACAGCTGTTTTATATTCCTGGTCTGATAATTCCAACATTCATGCCATATCTGACTCTTGTTCCGATCCCCATTCAGTCTCTTTAAACTGTGTTTGTTTGTTTGTTTACCTTTTAGTACGCCTTGTAATCTTTTGTTGAAATCTGGACATGATGTGCTGGGTGAAAAGAACTCCAGTAAATAGGACTTTAGTGGTATGGTAGTTAAGTGTGGGGAAGGATTCTCTAGTCCTGTGATTAGGTCTCAGTCTTTTAGTGAGCATTTACCTCTGGACTGTGATTTCACAAGTGTTTCTCAGTTTTTTATCCCCCCTTACTTGGGGCAGGATGGCTGGGGGGAGCTGTACTTGGGTATTTCCCTTCTCCAGGTCAATTAGACTCTGGTAATACCCTAGCAGGTTAGGCTCTGGTAAAATAGTTTCTTCTGATGGCAGGCCTTGTTAAGAAGAACAGAGTGCTCTGGTGTATTTCAAAATGGTTTCTTTTCCCCTCCCCCTGATGGAAGCACAAGGGGATTTTTCTCCAATATTCACTGTAAGGACATGGTTATGCTCCTAGAGATAAAATTCACAAAAGGATAGAGACTTCACTATGACTGGGTCCCTCTGGACTTTTTAAATCTCAGACTTGTCCACACTGAGCCTCCAGCAATTAGCCAATTACAATTTAGATTTTTTTACTTGCCACAAGTTCCTGTGGAGCTTACTGCTCATAGGTTTCTGGTCTGGTAAGTTGTGATTCTTTGGATTCTCCTGTCTCTCCAGTTTCAGGGGCAGCAGTTTGCCCTGTGACATCACTTCTCTTATGGATCTAAGATGAGTTGTTGATTTTTCAGTTTATTCAGCTTTTTATTTGTCGTTAGGATGGAGTGGTGACTTCTAAACTCCTTACACACTAGACCAGAAACCAGAAGTCTTGTGTCTTAATTTTTACATTTACCTTTCCTCTGTAGGACAATAAATGTTACATTTTTAAAAACAACTGCCCTGCAAAATTATCGTGTGGACAGTCATCAGTTCAAGACAATTAGCCCTACACTTTATCATTACAGAGCTCTTATCATTTGTTGCCTTCCAAATAAAAACGACCAATGTTAGCTGGGAATATCTGAGTTATATTTGGGGTGACAAATATGAAGCATGATGATGATTTCAGGGTGTTGGAATCCTGCGTTCCTTTACAAAAATGGTTCTGTATGCTTTTGTGTCCATCTCTTGCTGCCATGCCACCTCAAACCTAAAGTTGCTCAAGAGACTTTTTATACATGTCAATTAAAAACTACCAAGTTTTCATGGTACTAAGGTGAACCACAAAGAATATGGATAGATGGATGTTCGACTTTATATTGATTGGTTAGCCTTAGTATCACAGGCAGAAGCTCTGAAGGAAGAAAATGACAGCCTCCGTTGGCAGCTCGATGCCTATCGGAATGAGGTAGAATTGCTCAAGCAAGAACAAGGCAAAGCCCCCAGAGAAGACGACCCAAACAAGGAACAGCAGCTGAAACTCCTGCAGCAAGCCCTGCAAGGAATGCAACAGGTAAAGGCCCTTTGGTTTTCTGAGCTTTTAGGAAAGCTAGCATCAGCTCCTCAACTGGAAAAAGGTCCCATGCCAGCAAAGAGAATAGCAAACCTCTTATTTTCTTGATATTCTGTTCTCTGGCATAGACTAGGAAGGGATTATGTTATGGTTAATGAAATATTCTGCCAATACAGAGGTAACAGTTTTCAAAGGATGTACATTCAGTGAAAAATACTTGACAGTAAAACTACACCGAACATAATCTAATCTTTTCTTTCTGCTTCAGAAGGTGCTTTGGGATCTGGACAGGGCCTCGGGGTCTTTATGAAGAACCTCACTTACTTAGATATGAAAAAGTAGTATCTACTTGATCCAGTGCTGGACCATACAGCCTGTTAGGAGAAATGGCAGGAATCCTACCCTTGCTTTTTCAGTATCAATGCTTTGGGCACATAATATCAATTTGCTTTTATTTTGTGTTGTTTTCAGAGTCATTTATGTGAATGAGTTTACCTGCACATTATTCCAAGTATAAAAAGTAAAGTAAATAAGTGCATCCAACTGTAATTGCATTCAAATACAACAGTGTGTATTAGATGTTCAATGTCTAGATGTTTTATGTAACCATCACCACAGTGAGCCCACAATTTAAAAGAAAAAGATATCACCATCTGTTCTCATCATAATAAAGGAGTAGTATTTTTGAGTAAGGGTACTATCCTCTTCTGTCTTGCCAGATGACCAGCCATTTTCCTTACAATTTAAATTGAGCAATAATTTTTTTAATTGTATGCCTTGGAATTATCTAGGGCAAAGCTTATTGTTGGCTAGAAATCACAAATTGTGAACAAGGAGTCCCTTCTGGCACTAAGAGCCCTGTGTTCCTATTACTTCTGCTACCACTGTCTGTCTGTGCGACAAGCAATATCACATTGATATTTCACCTTTCCTATTAGCACAATGTGTGAAGTAATGCTTACCTTCCTTTTACTGTCACTATGGAATTTAATTAGAACATGTAAATTATATCTGAGATCTTTCCACCAAAAAAATGCATCTCTTCAGCTAGACTTCAAAGAATTTTGACAACATATATTGTGTTGTGTGTCTTTTAGCTCTTCCAATGGTCTTTTGCAAGCCTCTGAAAAGCAAAACTTTGGAAACATTTTTTGTTGCTTTTCTCTCTTACCTTGATTTTGAAACCATTCCACAGAAGGACAGTTCTGCTACTGAAATACAATTTAAAGATGATGAACTTTTTTTTCTTCATTTCATCACTTCAGAGACCTCTGAGAAAATTAGGTCTCTACATCCCGATAAATTAATTTTGCTCATTTTGATTACTTTTTATTGGAAAATAGCCTTGTAAACAAGATAAAGGTTCTCCCATCTTATCCCAAAAAGAAGTATAGTCTAACATAGTGGTTAAGAGCATGGACTATGGTGTTGACCCAACCTGGGTTTAAATCCCAGCTCTGCCACTTACTATCTGAATGGCCTAAGGCAAAGCACTAAACCTCTGTAATCCTCAGGATTATGTATCATAGGGTTACTTGAGGTTTATATGAGATCACACATACAAAACCTTATCCACAATGTGTGACACATGTTAGATGCTAAATAAGTAATATTTTTGTAATCGTTAATGATGATGAATCCAGTTCCTTGCCTACTGATGTGGAAACAAACATCTGTGAGATGTTTTCCTCACAGAAATTGAACTTGGCTTGGAAAATGGCTATTTGAAAGAATGCTTTACAACATTAAGTTGTATGCAGCAATCAAGATATTGTCCACATGGGATTAACACTATACCCTATCCTTACTCCTGGCTGGAATAGAAAAGTTAAGTGATTAGATCAGTTAGTTTCTCAGATGCTTTCTAAAATATGAACAAATCCTAAGGAAGTTCTTAAGAACTAGATAAAATAACTTTAAGTGAAAAAGTACCTTGATTTTCCCTTTGGTATCTCTGCATGGAGAAATGATTGTGTGGGCTGGGAGAAAGTGAGGGAGGCCAGCCTACTGTCCAACTCCAGCCAGGGTTTTTAAATGAATTGTGGCTCCTCAAGACTTGATTGTCTTTGGTCTGTCTTGTAGCATCTACTCAAAGTCCAAGAGGAATACAAAAGGAAAGAAGCTGAACTTGAAAAAGTCAAGGATGACAAGTTGCAGGTGGAAAAAATGTTGGAAAATCTTAAAGAAAAGGTACATCAGTCCTCTGTGAACCCTTGCCCTTCCCCCCACCCTGTGCAGTGGCAGTGAAAATGCCCTGCAAGTTCCTGCAGTAGGAATCACCGTGGAATGCTTGGCTGAATGGGGATTAAAAGCCCCCTCTCTGGGGTAATTCTTGAATCAGGGGCTCTGCCTTTAGATGTGAATCCTTGGCATATCTAAGGATTCTGGAGAGTGTACTTTTCAATGAATACAAAGTTAGTCCATCCCTAAAATTCCTCAGTCTTTCCCTCTTGGAGAAGATCAGCGTGTACACCTCATTCCGGCTTCATCTTGCCAAGCAAGTAGCAACATAGAAAATGCAGGTGAAAAAAAAAGAAAGAAAATGCGGGTGACACAGAGTACCCTTAATAAAGCGTTTCATTAAAAGAAGAAACACAAATACAACCAGAACATGGGCATTTCTTTGCAGACACTCCATCTAGTGTAATAATGAGCAGCTGCAGGTGAAATCACCAAAACCCAAAGGGGAGAAAACGTGTGGAAAGTAAATAAAAAGAAAGAATATTCTAATGCTTGATGATTGCAGCATGGAAGGGCAAGATGGGACTTTGCAGCAATAAGAGCCACCAGTGAGGGCCTCTTAGGGAGTCTCCTAACATCTGGATAGGTTAATGAGTCACAAGCATGAATCAGGTGCCCAGTCTACTTAAGGTATGTAAAGTCTACCGATGGTGTCTCCCAGCCGTACCTCCCTAATCGTCTGTATGCCTGAACATTCAACTGAAGCAATCCTCTGAAAAGGAAGACCCATTGACTGTAACTGCCTGATTTTTTTTTTTAAAGATTTTATTTATTTTTTAGAGAGCGAGCGAGAGAGAAACAGCATGAGAGGGGAGAGGGTCAGAGGGAGAAGCAGGCTCCCCGCTGAGCCAGGAGCCCGATGTGGGACTCGATCCCAGGACTCTGGGATCATGACCCGAGCCGAAGGCAGACGCTTAACCATCTGAGCCACCCAGGCGCCCTGTAACTGCCTGATTTTAATGTCTCGGAAGGAAAAGATTAGGAGCTCAGACCAAGAGCCAGAAATCAACAATGCTATCGTTACACAAGAGCTCGGGCTCTTTATCTCTGGCACTCAGCTCAGGAAGATGCAATGCATACAGGCCCTGGGTGTGTTTGCCAGCATAGTGACTTCCCCCAGAGTGCCATTAAGAACTGGCAGCCTTGGTGTAGTTGAAACAAATGATTGAAAGTGTTTTCTTCTGGAGGCCATTTGCAATATGCTTTTAATTCTTCCACTTCATAAAATCAGCTCACTTTCCACTTTTGTGGGTGCTATTAAAGAAATGAGCACAATCCCAGAGAAATTCATTTATCAAGCATTTAATTGAAAAGTGCCAAAGCTGCTCTGTGTAGCAGGAATTTCCCTATACTTTCAGAGCTGCTAAAATGTCTCAGAGCTGGGCGCCTGGGTGGCTCAGTTGGTTAAGCGACTGCCTTCGGCTCAGGTCATGATCCTGGAGTCCCTGGATCGAGTCCCGCATCGGGCTCCCTGCTCGGCGGGGAGTCTGCTTCTCCCTCTGACCCTCCCCCCCCTCATGTGCTCTCTCTCTCCTCTCATCCTCTCTCTCAAATAAATAAATAAAATCTTTAAAAAAAAAAAAAATAAAATAAAATGTCTCAGAGCTGCTATATAGCTATTTTGCTTCTTGCGTAAAATGCAATAGACATGAGGTTATGCTAATGACGTTATGCTTAGAATCATTCTTTAGGATTGACATCACAAATTAATTTAAGGGCATTTTTAGTGTAAGGGCATTTTTGGCACTTTAAATTTCATTGAAAGAAGCACGAGATCAAATGGCACAGAAGAAACTTAATGTATTGTGCCTTAGTCTGTTTTTCATGCTGAACCTGAATATACCATGAAGTGGCAGCTAAAGAGGATAAGGAAGGAGAGCCAACTGATAATCAGGAAAATGTGAGTCAGAATGTTTTTTTCCTGTTACTGTAAGCAAAGCTTCTTTCAGAAAAAGTCATGACAGTTCATTATAAACTGATATTCTCTGAGAATCTGATTTGTGACCAAATATTTCAGCCTGACACAATTAGGTTAGGAAGCAAAGTACCATTATGTTAGACTGCAAAAATAATTCCAGGTTGAAAGGAAGGCAATAAGTTTTGGTGAGGAGAGATCTCTTTTGTTTTTGTTTGGGTTTCTTGACAGTAAACTGTAGTGTGAGTTATTGTCAGTGTTTTGCAATATAACAATGTGACTTCTGTCTGTCTTACTGCAGAAAGAGCTAGCTCTTTGAATCTGCCAGTAAAATTCAAGGTGATAAACATCTCTTCAATATGCCTTCTAATTTTTTAAATGCCAGCTATAATAAAACTGAAGTCAGGTTTCAGTAAGGCTACATTTCTATTCAAGATGGCTAAAACTTCTCAGGATGCCTTTCCATCTTGAGTCAACCCCAATCTGTTAAACTCTCACACTTAAGAAATGGCTTACTGTATCATTTAATGTTTTAAGGACGTTAGAAGGAGATGTACAACCCATGGCTTAGAAGTGAGCCAGTATTTTGAATCAAACTTGGCATGATGGTTACTGCCTGGATTGGATTCTAAAGGCCAAAGATTGAGTAGGTCATCAAGAAAGGCTTCCCTTCTGACTATAGCCAGGACGCCTGTAAATCCACAAAACAACATGTCTTGCAGCATAGACCATTCATTTCATTCAGGGCAACATCCTGGAAGCTTTAAAGGCATCTTTAAAGAAAACAGGACACCTGTCTGTGCTGAGGGCTTGCGGAAGAGAAGAGTGACAAAGCATTTGAATCAGCCATGATCTGCCCCTGCCAGGAGCATTTCCCCGGCATTTTCTTTTTTTTTTTTTTTTAAAGATTTTTTTTACTTATTTGACAGAGAGAGACACAGCGAGAGAGGGAAGACAAGCAGGGGGGTGGGAGAGGGAGAAGCAGACTCCCCACTGAGCAAGGAGCCTGATGCAGGGCTCGATCCCAGGACCCTGAGATCATGACCTGAGCCGAAGGCAGACGCTCAACCGACTGAGCCACCCAGGTGCCCCGGCATTTTCTTTTCTAATAGCAGTAAGACTGGAAGCAGTGATTCCTTTATTCCTTCTTTTCAAGACTCTTCCTTCACATTTGTAATACAGAAAAGATGTTCTCAGTGCCCAAAGAGAGAAAGAAAGATCCATGGAAGGTCTGGACGTATTTTTCAGTTTGATTGCCGGTCATGAATTTCACCTGAGTATCTCTTACGAAACATACCTGCTATGCTCAGAAAGAGAGAACTTTCAACAACAAAGAAGGCCACTGAGTAATATTTTGGTCATGGTCATTTCTTGATATGAAGTCAGGAATATCCTAACTGATAATGTCCTTATCAGGGAGAAGAAAGAGCTGATAGTCAATAAATGGAAGCTCTAATTTTTAGTTCAAAAGCCAACAGTTGATTATTTGGGAGTAGATTAGCTACATTGTAGATTCTGCACTCAGAGATGGGACCTGCCTTTAGCAGAGTGTGGACCTAAAATTGAACAATCCTTTTGGCAGTGGATGACCTCGTGTGAAATCTAGGCTCTACCACATCATAGAAATGTGATCTAGGGGCGCCTGGGTGGCTCAGTTGGTTAAGCGACTGCCTTCGGCTCAGGTCATGATCCTGGAGTCCCAGGATCGAGTCCCGCATCGGGCTCCCTGCTCGGCAGGGAGTCTGCTTCTCCCTCTGACCCTCCTCCCTCTCATGCTCTCTGTCTCTCATTCTCTCTCTCTCAAATAAATAAATAAAATCTTAAAAAATAAAAAAATTAAAAAAAATAAAGATTAAAAAAAAGAAATGTGATCTAAGGCTAAGGCAATTTACCTAATTTACCTGAGCCTCACTTTCCTCATTTGTAGAATGGAGATAACACATACCTAACAGTGCCTGGCACCTAGTAGGCAGTAAATGTTGGGTCTGGTTCCCCAGATTACCTCTATAGAGTCAAGAATGATGAAGGTGGGGGGAGAAAAAAAAAACCTGGCAAAGATGAATGTCTAAATTTTTCTGTGTTTTGGAGCCATATAAAGAAGTTTGGGATGATCTGTGATACTTTTGCATAAATTAATGCTATTTTCTCTCCCATTCAGTCATCAAAATTGTACAGTATTGCTTTTGGGGTACTACGTTAAAAAGTTCCCTGTTGCGTAATTGAATCCAAGTCTGTTACGCAGTAAGGTGAACTGACCCAGGAAGCATATTATTCCCACAGGAAAGCTGTGCTACTAGACTGTGTACATCGAGCCAGGACAGTGACTACCCTCTTGAGAAGACCCTGAACAGCAGCCCTATCAAATCTGAACGTGAAGCACTGCTCGTGGGTAAGGAACACACACATATAATGTATTGACTATGGTGGAGGGGGAAAGGGTTTCACCTAAGATGAATATACCCGCCAGGCATTTATGTAGCATGACAATGCACGAATAAGTATAGACTTCATAGAAATGGTAACAGCAGCTCCCAATTCTCCTCTAGCTCCTGTGGTTGCTGCCACATCAAATGTGTGGTTGTAAGCACAGGAGAGGGTCTGCTGGAGAAACACGTTGTACATTTTTTAAATCTCTATGTGAGGATAGCAGAGCCCTCTCACTCAAGGTTATAGTGCGGACACTGTTTGGCAGAGAGCTTTCCCAGATGAGCCTCCAGAGGAAGTGTATGCCTCTCTGAAATTTTTTTCCAGGTTACTGGCAGATAACTCAGGAGGCTGTCTGTGGTATGTGACACTGGTGGGCTCAGACGAGATAAATGCTAGAATTGCTCTCATTATATAAAAATCATCCAGAGAGGCAAGATAGAACACATGGTTGAGAAGTCAGACAAACCTGGTTTCCCGTTTGACTCTACCATTTCCTTCCTGAGCTTCAGTTCCTCCATCTGCACAATGGGCAGAATGATATTACCTGTCTCAAAGGGCAGCTGCAAGTATTAAATAAGATAATTCATCTGAATCCCTTAGCACAGTGTGCAGCCCATAGGAAGCCCTCAGTAAAATGAGAACCGTTTTGCACTTACAGTATTCTGCACAAATGTTTGTTGACTTGATATTCCATTTGGAGAACAGTGGCAGATTGAGGTCCTAAAATATTCAGTCATTTCCAAGGGGCTGATACTGGGCCTCAACAGATAATCCCAGCTTCCTTCTAGGAAGCTGAACCCCACAGCAGCCCCACCCCAATCTCAGAAGTTCTCCACACTGATTGGCTTCTGCATATTTTGAAGATTTATCTGCCTTCTTTGGTAATGGATATTGTAGTCAGATTTAACACTTTGATATGTTAATAAAGATGCACAAGGGGATCTGCCATTGAGTCTTAAAGAAAAGTGACAACTTATTTCCATTTTACAACTCAAAGTTCTTTAACAAATTGGCATGGCAACAGGGAGACCTGTCAGAGAAGAGCTGGGGGTAGAAGGAAGCCTCTGTGAATGGATCGTTTTAGAAACAAAGATTCTTAAGATAAGTGTTTCTTATTTTGTTTTTTAAAGAATGTAGTCTTGGGCTGACAGAGAGAAAGGAAAATCTGTTTTTTAAATTGGTTCTTCGGGTGTGAACCCACAGAAACTGCTTAGTGTTTTGAAACCTAAGGAGTTATTTCTCAGCATTTGACAGATAGCCTGTCTTGGCCGTAGCACCTAGAATTCCTTTGGACATGAACTGTCTTCTTTAGAATTTAAGTTCCTCAGCTTGAGTCAGTGTATAGCAATTCAATTTACTTCGTCATTTAAGAATCACATAGTGTTATAAGTAATAGCATCCATTTCGAACAGATTTTGAACTCTACCATCAGCTCCTCCCGGATCCCCCAGCCCACCTCCTTGCCCTCTGATATTTGGAGGATTTTCACAAAGAACTGATTTGAACTTCAAGCTACAACTCAAACTTGTGATATTCTTTATCAGTCACTTGAAGGAATAGACAAGTTGTAGTCTATAAACCAAATCAAATTTAGCTTTTATTTCCTGGCAGTTCTCGGCAAATTCAATTCTGGGTCTATTTGATGTACTTAAGATCTTATGAAAGGAGAGGAATTCAAAAAAATCTAAAGAAAGAAATAGTAGGCCTTTGAACAATTTAAGATCTACGTGTTGCCAGAGAAAGAAGTATTAGAACAATTAACCTGATGTCCAGAACAATCAAGGCAGTATGTATAGCTGCCAATCACCCCATAGTTAAACTCAGTAAAAATTGTGCACATTCCCAGAGGCTGTAAAGTTCTATAAAAAAAAATGTGTTACTTGAAGAGATTTAGAGCTCTAAGCACAAACAAATGCTAGTGACCACTTGAGTGAATGAAATGTTTGGCTTTTCTTTACAGAGCTACTCACAGAATAAAACCAAATATAATCAGCAGATTCTCTTGTGAGAGGCATGAAGTGAATCAGGCAAAGTACCTGATTTGTACTTCTACCACAACAGCAAGACATTGTTAATGCATAAGAAGCTCACGTCCAGTTTAAAGACTGTGCAGAAGAATTGCAAAAGGCCAGCATGATCCAAATTCATTATAAAATTCTAAATTCACTGTGAAATGTAGAACTCAAATGGTCTTTAGCCATCATAAATGATGGAAGTGACTCCTCCAATGCCAGTGTTTCTACATGGGGATATAGTGTAGTGAGAGGCAGTATATGCAGTGGGTTGTTGTACAGATTAAATGAATAAAATGTATATAAACTTAGAATAGTGCCCAGTATGTAGTATGTGGTACATGTAAGTTAGCTCTTATTTCAAAGAATATAATGCTCGAGTGTAACCTCCATGGTATTGTCACTATAGGGATTATTTCCACATTTCTTCATGTCCACCCATTTGGAGCAAGCATTGAATACATCTGTTCCTACTTGCACCGTCTAGATAATAAGGTACGTGGGGTGCTAAATGGGCATGCAAAGGGACAGAGGGTACTTTCTTCAAGCACAAGTAAGTCGTTAGTAATCGCTCTAAGGAAATTTCCCTCGCCTAGTCTCACTGCAATGCAGTGCAGAGCTTCTCTCTTGCAAGTAGGATGACCGTCTGCTTCTGTTTGCCTAGTATTGAGGGGTTTCCTAGGACTCGCGACTTCCAGTGCCAGAACCAGGAAGTTGTGGGCAAACCTGAATGAGTTGGCCACCCTCCTTCCAAGATACGTCTGAGAAGAATTTTCCTCCTGTCTTTCAATTTCAATCTAAGCTGCAAATGACCCACTCTCTCTCACCAGTCATACTTTGATCCCGGGCCTTTAGCCATTAGTAAATGTTAATGTTCAAAACTGGAAGTCTTACTCCAGCCGTCAATGTCACCACTGCCATTACCTATGTTGAAATGATCAAGGCAAGAGCTAAAACAAAACAGAGGAAACAGTAAGTCTGTGACATGGACTCCAGTTCTACTCCCAGCTGATCTCATGGGTCACTTCCTTCCTGGGATGCTGTTCTATGAGGGACCTCACAAAGCATCAGGGGCAAGAGTAAGTATTAGTTCCCTAGAAAGTCAAGGATGCCTCAGGGAAGCAGGAGAGGACTCTTGACTCCTCAGAATAAATAAACTCAGGATAGATTTTTTTCAGAAGCTGCATTCAGTTAAATGTGCTTGTGGATTGTATTCACTATTTCACAGGACCTGGGGCTCTTGAGATGTGGCCACTGAAATGCAGATTCCTGATAGTTGGATGTCCAAAATGTTAAGCCATTTAAGCATATGTCCTCTTAACAGAGGCACTTGCCCATGTGGGCATCCGGCTGAGGTGAGACATCCTTCTCATGGCATTTGTTTTAGTTCGAGCCAGCACGCCCCTCTCATTGAGCTCTGGAAAGTGATACCATTCCGCAATTAAAGAGCCCATTTGGCAGCAAAGGGAGGGATCGAATGTGAGCACCAGGACCAAGCGGTAGGTTGAAGTGGTATGAAATTGGACTTTGTGTCAGTAAAAATGATCTGGCCCTTTTTTCAAAAATTGTAAAAAAAAAAAAAAAATACATTTTATGTTAAAAATGTAAGCAAGATAGAAAGACAGTGAAGGGAAAGTGAAAGTGACCCAGCCCCACCCTTCCAGGATCATCACTGTTAACAGTTTGGCATATCTTCTTTCAGACCATTTTCCATACGCATGCTGCACCTATATTGTACGTATACATCTGTAAACATTGTATGTTTATGGTTTTTAGAATGGAATTCAACTCCATATGATACTCTGCAATGTGCATCTTTTACTTAACTGGCTACTGTCTACTACTAGCTCTAGGAAGAAAGCATGACCTCACTCCTACTCTCAGCCCATTTTGTCCTGAGCAGCTTCCTGCCGGAGTAGTGACAGGGCCTCCCAAAAAGAGCCTGCAGTGATGCCAACAGAACTAGGGGGGGTCCCTCCCTCCAGCTTCAGGAACATTCAGTGTGGCAGCGACTGAGGGTTTCTCTCAGGATCCCCTAGTGCTCTTCAGTCGAGCCCTAGTGCCCAGGTTCACAGTTAGGAAGGTTGCTACTCATGTCAAGATGACCACCTGAAACAAGTCCTAAAGGGGTCCACAGATTTTTGTTATTATTGTGTGTGTGTGTGTGTGTGTGTGTGTGTGTGTGAAGTGGGGAGAGGGAGACGATGCACAGAAGTAGGAATACAGGGCATTCCTTATTTCTGTCATTTTTCCTTTGTAAAGCAATGCATGTATGAAGAGTTCTGCCCTGCCTCCCTCCGCTCCCAAAAGGCTTTGCAGCTTCAGTAGGCCTGCACACAGGCGCAGCGGCACCGATCAGCTGTCATTCAGCTGGCTATGAACCCAAGCCTGTCCACACAACTGACACTAGCTCTTTTCATTAGAAAGCTCGGTGGTGATCAATCCCCAAAACGTCATGCTAAGTGAAAGAAACTAGTCACAAAAGACTACATATATCGTATGATCGCACATACATAAAATTTCCAGAAAATTCAAAACCACAGCAAAAAAATCCGAGTCAGGGATTGGGAGGAACGATTGACTACAAAGGGGCGTGAAGGAACCTTCTGTGGGTGATGGAATGTTCTAAAACTAAAGAGTGGTGAGAGTTGCCCAATTGTATAAATGTACTAAAATTCATTGAACTCTACACGTAGAGTAGGTGAATTTGTTGTAAATAAATTATTACCTACATACAGCAGTTACGAAACCCATACAAGGGAAGCCCAGGGTAGAACTGCTTCTGAGTGGAGCTCCTCTCTCTGGCCCACAGATCTGCACCAGCGACGTGGAGTGTCTCATGGGCCGGCTGCAGCACACCTTCAGGCAGGAAATGACCGGGGTCGGAGCCAGTCTGGAGAAGAGGTGGAAGTTCTGTGGCTTCGAGGGCCTGAAACTGACCTGAATGCCGCGGCCTTACAGCCTGGGCTCCTGCAGAGAAATGTGCGGTGGACGCGCTGAGAAAGTGATTTGTATTCTCAATGGTTTTCAAGTGGGAAGTGCTTTAAATTTGCAGGTCGTTCCCGGGATATCTTTTGAGTTAAAATAAGGATCCTAGAGCAGCACCTCAAGCTACAGGCCCTAAAAAGACACGGACTCAGACCCTCAAGCGCTGTAACTTGCTCCCTTTCTGTCAGTGGCTTGTCTCTTTTATTAGTGATATTGAAAAAGGCCTGAGGCTAAAGAGTATTTGGGGTGTTTTCAGTGTCTGTACTACTGTTGTAGAGTTTGGTATTTTTTTAAACACTGTTAATTGAAATGTTTTGATGATTTGTATGTGATTTGTGTTTCAAAACTTCTCTTCACATTAATGTTGCTGCTGGTGAGAGGAATGAGAGGAGCACTAGGTACTCCATAACTGACGTGCTCTTCCCAATCCCCAGTAAGCCAGTAAATGAATAACACAGCGTCTTCTAGAAGGTGCCTGACCAGGCTCCCCTTTTAAAAGACAAAGCATGGTTTGTAGCTTTTTGCAAAATTACTGTGAACCAAAAGTTGACAAATGTTCCGAAGTTATTTTCTCTAATATATCAGATTAAAAACATCTAGATGTATTCGCAGAAAGCAAGTGTCCAGTATGACTGGCATGTGTATGTGCTATTCAGAATCACCTTATAAATAGTCTGCGTTTAAAGGAGGGCATGTTTAGTTTTCTATGAATTAAAACACGTGTGCACATGCACGTACACACACGTTAGCAGAAGGGATTCGTTTTAATATGCCTTCCCTCTGGCCTTCTTACGAAGTCTGTTGGTCCCTTTTCTTCTGCCATCAGCGTGTTGAATTGCAAACCGTGTACCGCTGTAAATACTATGTTCACTTCAAGCTGAATGTTTGCAAACAGTTCGTATGAGTATTAGTAGAAAACTCTTGGTAATGAATGAGCCTGGGTGTGTGAGGCTTCCTGCAAATCGCTCAGCTCCTCCTGGAGCGCCGATGGCCGTGGGCACCTCCAGTTCTATGGTGCCCTCCAGCAGATTGCAATGGCAGAGTGTACGTGGACCAGTCAGGAAGTCCTGCTTGATGGAAACGAAAGAGAAAGGATGAGGATTTGGGGCTAATATCCTGAGGCACAGATGATCTTTTCTTCTGTGGTGTTGCTGGTGTTTATAGTAACACAAGCATGCCCTCCCTTGAGTCTTGATTCAGAATAAAAGAATGTACTAAGTAAGCAAAGCCAATGAAGAGTATTTCAGGAAAATACTTTGTAAATGAGATGTCTGTAGTGTGTTCAAAGTTGTATTTTTCAAAGATAAATATTCCTTTTTTATACCTCAGTTTGGTGTTCTGTTTTGAATTACTTGCTCTCTAATCCTTTAGTGAATCATCTCGATTTCTTCTTTGGAGTACCAGGATGTTGAAAGAAGATGCTAAACCTTCGCCTTGACAACTAGAAATAGGACCCCACAGCAGCTCAGTCACACGTAAAGCTGGCTTCCCCCTGAAGCACCCAGCTGTGGCACGAGCAGGGAGCTGGGGTTATTTTTACTCTAGCCTCCTCCCTGAAGCATCCTCCCTGTCATCAGCGCTATAGAAGCCTTTGATTTGTCAATCTCAGAGGTCCTGGAATGCCTTATTTTAATAATATCTCTGAAATCAAGGGAAATTTGCCACTTATCAATTATTTCTTATTTAAATAAGTTAAATACCATGACATTTTAAAACAACAAATTTTAAAAGCAACAACTGTTACACCCAGGCCCCTTGCTGTCCTTCACTTAATCTACTTGTGCTACAAATGGTCTCTTCCTATTATTCCCGCCCATTTAGTCCAAGTGTACTCCTCCCAGCCTGCTTGAACACACTGGTTGTGAGGGTTAAGTTTGTGTGTCAAGTTGGCTAGGCTATAGTGCCCAATTGCTTAATCAAACACCAGTCTAGATGTTGCTGTGAAGGTATGTTTGAAAAAATATCATTAACATTGAAACTGTAGACTTTGAATTGAAGCAGATTGTCCTCCATAATGTGGCTGGGACTCATCTAATCCATTAAAGACCTGAAGTCCTCTGAGGAGAGAGAATTGTGCCTCCAGATTGCCTTTGGATTCACGACTGTAGCATTAACACCTGCCAGAATTTCCAGACTGCTGGCTGGCCCCACAAATTTCAAATTTTCCAGCCCCCACAATCACATGACCCAATTCCTTACAATAAATCTGTATGTGTGTGTGTGTGTGTGTGTGTATACATCCCACTGGTTCTGTATCTTTGGAGAACCCTGACTACTATGCTAGTCCAGAGTTGTGTCATAATATGTAAAAATAAAATCCATTTGCATTATATTACATAATCAAATTGCAGCACATGCCATCTCACAATTCTTTCCATCCATCATAGAAATATATTAATGAAGCTATTTTGCCTTATAAATGCTCAGTGCTATTTATTCTAATTATTGTTCTGTTATTCTGCCCAAATTTTGAAATATTACTGTTTTGTTATTTTTAGGAGCTCCAGTAGTTAGAGATTCCAGATAATAATGAATAGAAGCATTTTTTAATTTTACAAATGGTTGTTTTATCTCTCTTCCTAGTCTGTCTGACATCTCTAGTTCTGGTTCTTTAATATTACCAAGTTGCTTGTTAAATGTCCTCAGTGAAAATGAGATAGTTTTTGGAGCAAACTAAGCACTTAACTGTGTTCTACTTAATTGGGCCCAAAACTGTGTTTTTCATAGAATGCAGGATAAACTATATCCCTTGAAAATACAGCAGAGATGTACAAGACCTTTGACTCACCTGCTGGAACTGGGTAAGCCCTTGGGATTCTTAGCTGTCTTAGACAGTCTCTCAAATAGACCCAGATTCACTATTCACCACAATTGCTACCATCTGCTGAGCACCTCTTATGCTATCCTGCTGCCTACAGTCACTTCTTGCCTGTGTGTCAAGTTACACGGACACAGTGAGAGCTTCAATTTCCTTATGGGTAAATTTAAGGAGAAATAGTACCTGTCTGAGAGTGGTGGTAGAGTCATCAAGATAGCATGTGCAAATTGCCCAACCAGTGCCTGGACCATAATGAGTTCACAATAAAGAGTTATGATTATGATTATGATTATGATTCAGCCAAAATAATTATAAGCTATGACCTTACCCTCACTTTAAGAAAAATGCTTTTGTGTTCACACCTAGAACTGTGGAGCTACATCATGTTGCGGGGCCTCAAGAAGGGAAACCTAGCTGTTCAAAGGTATTCCAAACATTTATTCAGGCCCAGGCACCCTGCCAGGCATTATGGAGTACAAAAGGAGTATGCCTGGTGCTTGCCCTCAAGGAGTTAGAAGAGTAGGCTTTAACACACTGGACTTAAATCCTTCACCCTGTAGCCAAGACCATAAAAGCTCAGCATGAAAAGTATTCAGTGTTGGCCAACTGTCAATGGTGTGAATAAGGTGGTAATGATGGCTCACTCTTGAGACCTGAATTATTATTCTCTGTGCCCCAATGCACCCCCCCATATCCAGTCCCAGAGTGTAAATTCTAGGAGAGAATGGTTCTCATTTGTTCACTGTCACATCCCCAAACCTGGTGCACTGTAGGTGCTCAGTAAATGTTTGTTAAATGAGTATTTGTGTAACACTCTATACAAACTACATTCATATGCACTAATAATAAAAGCTAACATTGATTAGTGATTCCTACTTACCAGTGATGTGTGTGTGTGTGTGTGTGTGTGTGTATCTCTATGTATCTATCTAGAGAGGGAGAGAGAGAGATTTATTCATTTTTACTACAACTGTGAATGGTAGGTAATATTATCTTAGGTTTTATCTGAGACTCTAAGATGTAATGTAACTTGTAACTTGCTTAAGTTTCTAAGAGGCAGAGATGAAATTTGAATCTTAGTCTGTCCAACCGCAAACTTAAAACTTCCTACTGCTCCAATATGTTATTTATCCTTCATATCAACCTAATTGGTATTACCATAAGCCCCACATTATTCATTCACATGCCATTTAGAGCACCTGATATGTACAATTCTTGGTCTTAGAAATTCAAAGGGGAACAAAACAGGACCTCTTCCTTCAAGAGTTTACACGCTGGTGGGGATGCCTGCTAAATGACACAGTCACGTACAAAGTGCTACAGGGGAACATTGTGGAAGGCTTCACTAACATTAAGAAATTAGAAATATGGTAAGAGGAGAAAATAGGCTCAGACAGGTTAAATTACTTGCCCAAGGTACATAGTGGAGATAAAGCCCAGGATTTGAACCCAAATCTGTCTGGCTTCAATTCATGCTTTTTCTATTATACCACGGTGCCCAAGGTCACCTTCTAACAATGTCACTTAACCTCTCTGAGCCTTTGGTTTTCATCTATAAAGTGGAAATCTAAGCATATTTCCCTGAAAGTGTCATTCATAAGGCTTTGCTCAATGTAAAGTGCCCAGTACTAATCCTGCCTGGCAAAATAAGTGTTCAAAAAATAGCTATAATTATTATTCAACTAATAATAATATTAACAATGCTTTGATGGCAGCAGAGCTACCTTTCTAGTGTCAGAAATCCCATAGGGCCACAGGGTAACTTAAGAATGAGACCTGTTGGGATACAAAATCAGTGCATAGAAGTCTGTTGCATTTCTATACACTAATAATGAAGCAGCAGAAAGAGAAATTAAGAAAGCAATCCCATTTATAATTGTACCAAAATAATAAGATGCCTAGGAATAAACTTAACCAAAGAGGTGAAAGACCTGTACTCTGAAAACTATTAAATACTGATGAAAGAAATTGAAGGTGACACAAAGAAATGGAAAGACATTCCATGCTCATGGACTGGAAGAACAAATAGAGCAACCTACACATTTAATACAATCCCTATCAAAATACCAACACTATTTTTCACAGAACTAGAACAAAAAATCCTAAAATTTGTATGGAACCACAAAAGGCCCTGAATAGTCAAAACAATTTTGAAAATGAAAAGCAAAGCTGGAGATGTCACAACTCCAGTCTTTGAGCTATATTACAAAGCTAAAGTGATCAAAACAGTATGGTACTGGCACAAAAATAGGTGCATGGATCAATAGAACAGGATAGAAAACCCAGAAATAAACCCACAATTATAATGGTCTCCCATATCCCAAGATCCATAACATCATCCTATTCTTTCAGTGTGACGGGAAGCTTTGAGGATCCCAGCTTCCCTAAATTCTATCTGGGTGGATGGTGTCAAAGGCATAATGAAGCCATTACTTGGGGAAATGGGAGGAAGGAAAAGGAATTGACTATACACAAATGTGAGCAATCAGACCCAAGTCCGGAGCCTTATGAAGATGATCTCAGATCTTGGGTGGAAAATGGGATGCAGGACATATTAAAGAGTGTTCTACCTAACTGCATTCACTCCAGGTCTGATTAATAGCCCTCTGGAGCATCAGACCTCTTCAGTCTTAACTCATTAATATTCCTCAACAAATACTTTATATCACGCTTTAAAGTGTTTTCGGAGCAACCCTGTACACAGACATTATGTCATCTGATCTTCACAACACCCTGTGAGCTAGCAGGTGTGGATGGCTGGCTCTCTCACCATTACTGCAACTAAGGAAAACAAGCATCAGAAGGATGAGGAGCCATACCCTAGGTTACACAACTAAGTGGATGGTGGAGCTGGGATTAAAATGCAGGGTGCCTGAGTCCTCCCAATATCTATGCCACTTCATCTTCAGCCTCTGCCTAGTATGGCTGAGAGAATGGGAAGTAGGGGTCCTTGACAATTTTTAGTGCCATGGACCCCCTAGGAAGTCTGGTGAAGTCCATGAATCCCTTATGAGAATAACATTTTTAAATGCATGAAACAAAGGAAACCAACTATATTGAAATAATAATAGTTAACCAAAACACATTTGTGATATAGTAACCTATGTGCTCCCTTAACACATTAAATAGCAATACGTAATGACTGGCCTAATAACTCCTGTAGTTTTGAAGTAGTGATAAACACAAATATTTCAAGAAATATGGGATAACTTATGATACCGTGGTATCTGTGATACTGGTGAAAAAGTCACAGATACCGTGAACCCCTCTGTACTTTGTTGTCTACATTTGTAATGGAAGAAAATGCTATATTTCAGTTAGAGGTTAGTGAAAAACTAAGTGTAATATTTTCATCCAAGTTCACATGCTTCCTAAATTCTATCCACAGTCTCGAGGTTGATAAAATATAAAGTGAGAGCCCCCAAAGCGGGGCCAGGATTAATTTCAGTAAATACGTTCATATTTATAAATTACTTAGAACAGTGCCCATTATACAGTAAGCTCTATCTA